ATCAGCAAAATTAAAAAAAAATATTTTTATTTCAAAATTTTGCCTATAAAACTGCTCTTGGTGCTTTAAAAAAAAAAATTTCTACACATAATTTTGGTATAATACTTGTCTAAATTCTCTTTCTAACTTCTTCTAACATAACCTTAATATCAAAAGCTATTTATTATAGGCTGATATTAATCAATTAATATAACCTATTATACATTCCATTCTTGCAATAAAATTTCTGCTTGTATATAGAATCCAGTATATAACCAATTTATACTCTTTGATCTTGACATAGTGACCAGAATATATAAAAAATATTTATAATTACCAATAATGCTCTCATTTTAAACTAGTCTAAGAATAGTAATTGGACTATTCATTTATTTTATTTAATATTTTATATAGAGTTTATTGCTTAGCACTAAATCTCATTTCCTTATATTGCATACAAAGATCACTACATGCAGTTAAAAACTTGATTCTAGGAAGATAATGTTTTCAGATTCAGCTAAAGCTTAATTTACTAACTACATAATTATTTTCATCATTAATGTTGATTTTATCATTATAAAGATGAAACAATGAGTAATAACTTTTATATGCTAGTAAATATATAATAGAGTATATATTTTTATGAAAGTAACAATCTGTTTTGGTTATAATTTATTAATATAATTGTTTAGTATATTAGGCTATACAAAGTTAATTATTTTAGTGCTTCTAAAATTCTAAAGTAGCAACTCAGCTTTTATTTCAAAAAATTATATATAAAAAAAACATTTTTTGAAATATAAAAAATTTACTTAGGTAATAAATATAGTCAAAAATTTTTCTTAAAGTTTTGCAGAATTTGATCTAGTTATATTATGAGATCAATTTATTAAGTTTGTATAGCTTAAATTTAAAATTTTTTTTAAACATTACCAGGTGAAGGAAGGCCATATTGTGTAGCAAAGTTTTGAATAAATATTAGTATATATAATACTATTTCAAACTTTATAGCCTAATTACTAACATGTTCTTTAAGACTATAAACAATAGAACTTATATTATTTTTTGAATAATGTGTGTGAATTGCTTCTTATTTAGATTTTCCAATTGCATAGATAGTAAGCCAAGCTTTTTGGCAAACTGAAACTCCTTAAAAATTATAATTACTTGTCATATACTGTTTAATTTCTCTATAGCTAGTAGCTAGATATATGCTTGCCTCAAGAATTTCTAAAAAAAATATATTCTTTTCTGCTGATAACATTAATCTAATTCTACAAAATCTTTTAAGAGCTTTATTATAATTAATATAGATATTAAAACAGTTTTTAGAACAACAAGTAGTTTGTTGAATTTTGATTAGGAATGCTTAGTTGTTTTGTTCAGACATATTAAAATTTTTTTTTCATCGTATTCATTAAAGTTTTGAATTATATTGGTTTAATATAATTGTTGAAATAATGTAATTTCTTGCTGTGTAAAGCAATCTGACTCAAAACTATTATCATACTCTACTGTGCTATTATTACTTGCTTGATTTTTAATAAAAAATTCTTCTTCATCTAATAATTTATCACTATCCTCAGTCGTATTATAATATTCATACAATTTATTAAACTTATCATTTAAAGTAGTTAATTCAGAATATGTTTCAATAAAAATACTATTAAAAAAACATTTTTATTTATATTTTTATTCATAGTTAATAAAATACAGAAATGGAATATAATAAAATATGACTTGATAGCAAGTGAATTATTGTATACAGTTTTTTTATTTCATTGTTTCTATATTTGTATATTATGCATAAGTCTAATAATACTCTAATATGTGCAAGTTATACCTTGTTTTTACCTATTTTATCCATAGTTTTACTTGTATTATTCTTTTTGAATTCATCTCACTTTACTAATATCTATTTAACTGACATTACACAGGTGATAATATAATATTAATATATATATACAACTAGTAAAATACTAACTCTAACTCTATGTAATGTCAGTTAAATAGATTGTAGATAAAATAGATATTGATAAAATGTGATCCACTATCTATTTAGAGTTATCAATTTATATATTTGCATAAATTTTTCTATTTTATACTAGACCAAATTCTTATTTCTTGTTTATGCTGTAAATTCTTATTGTATAACAACCCACAAACCAAATTTAAGAGTTTTCTAAAGCTATACAACTATAATTTTGAATTAAAAAAGGAAAAGCATTAGCTCTAACTTTGAATATTGATGATTATAAATTTTGAATCATAGAAAAAAAACTATTAATGATACACTTTCAAGAATACTGCATTGATCTTTGATAGTAATCTTAGATAAAATATATATATATAGGGTGAAGTCAATAGAAAAAAGACAAATTTTTTCTAAGTAAATATTTTTTCAAGTTTAGAATAAAATATTTCAACAACTACTAAAGCAAATTCTATAAAAATTTTTTTATTTTAATTTTAATAAGTTATAGATTTAAAATAAAAAAAAAAATATTAAATTTGACAAGATTATTATTGAGATATTTTAATTTAAAAATAAAAAAAATTTCACTAAAAAAGATTTGTTCTTTTTCTTTTGACTTCACTTCATATATTAGCACTTGCACTTTGCAAGAGCAATTTGCTAACTTCTTAAATCTTGAATGATATATGTAGAGGTTAGAGAATAAAAAAGCATCATTAGATGCACTTTATAAGAATGCTATGCTATATTTAAACCTTGGATGAGAAGAAAAAAGTAATAGTAGCCTTGTAAAAATGAACAAAGTTTAACAAACCAAAAAATCTATGAGTTAGATTGAAAGAGTTAATTGAGAAAGAATGATGCAAATGATGTAATTGAATGCAATCTAAAAGAGCAAAGAAAACTCATACTAATTAATAAACATAAGTAAAGATGAAAATCAATTCATATGCCTCCTGATACATAATATAAGGAAACCTACCTTTGGTATAGCTAGTATTGCGAATAATATTGAGTTAGACTTATATTATGCAACTACTATTTAAGCATATAACAAGGAAAAAATCTAGATAAGGCAAAAATCCTGCTCATTGATTTGTATTATGAAAGCATCTAGCTTGTGAAAAGTTGTTATAACAATTATTATTAGCTAATATTGAAGATCAAAATAAAGGATATTGTTAGTAACTATAAATCAAGAGAAAGAACATATAAATAGAAAAATAAAAGTTCTAATACTTAAAAAAAGAAAATATAAAATACAGAATGATTAACATCTTTGGATGAAAAAATGAATAGGTACAAAGTCAAGATTATGAAAGGTTTAAAATTGATATAAATATTTGTATTATATATATCGATATCTATAGTATTTGATTCAATATAGTCCATCATAAATACAACCTGTGATATAACAAAGGAGAAAGATCAAAAACTGTATTAGAAAAAGGTTTATTATAAGAAAAAAAAAGAAATATAGATCTAAGCAGTGAAGTTTAAGATGTATGATTTTCTTAAGAGAGTAATTTAAGGGCAAAAGAAAAGAATGAATAGCTAAGGTAATCTGAATATGAATTAAAGAACAAAAATCAAACACAAACTTGAAGGTTCTAACAAATGAAGTACTAGAGAAAAAGGAATAGAAATTAAAAGAGAATTTGTATAACTACTAATTAATAAAAATAGCTATCAATATAAATCAAGCAAATTTATTAAAGGAATTTACTTGATTTCTATTGACAGCACTAGTTAGTCAATAATTGATACAATTGACATAATCTGTTACCAAGCCAAAATCAATCTACTAAGATGATACAAATGAACAAAAATAATTTTTATATTTTACTTAAAATTTTATTATATTTATTAGCTATATTTATAAGTTAAAAATATTTATTATAACTTTATTTATTAAATAAATAATATAACTTATTTTTAAAAAAATGTTGATTTGCTTAATTTCTATTTTTTTTTTTTTTTTTTTTTTTTTTTAATTTTAAAAAGTGGGCCTGGTCTTGGTTTTTATTGAATAGTTCAAAATATATATAGCATTTTTATATATATTACATTTACTCTATTACTTTAACTTGAGTTAGGGCTAGTTTACCCTACAGCCTATACTCTACTAGAGTGGGCATACAGAACCTTCTCTAGATTACTAAATTTGCTATATGGTTAGAGAAGATATTGTTGTGAAGGAAAAGGTTTAATCATGTAATAAGTTTCTTATTTGCAGTAGTGTTGGAGTTATAGTATTTAGAGTGGATTCCTGTGAGTTGTTGTTAGTTGTTGTAGCTGGAGGGGGGTTAATTGTATTGTTTCTTGTACTAGTATTTGTGGGTGTAGTTGGGATTGTTCGTTGAAGATTTGAGTATCTGGAAGTCCAAAGGTTATTATAGATAGATTTAGTAATTTTATGTAGTAATGTTGCAGCAGGATCTTTTTTTGTATTGTCTGTTGTAGATTTTAGAAGGTTTGATAGTGTTGTTGGAATTAGGCCCTGTAGGATATTTAGATTAGGTATATTTGAGTTAGTATTATATAATATATTGATTATATTTTGAATAGTTATTGTATTAGATATAAGGTCGTTAGAATATTTTGATATAAATTTTGTGCAGTTAGTTGTGATTATAGTATGTAATAGGCATGTATTTGTTGAACAGATAAGCCAGTGTAAGCTATCTTCGGTATTTGTTTTGTATCTTGTATATAGGTCTGAGATGTATTCAGTTGGATTGCAGATATGTAGATTCTGTTGTATTAGAAGTTCATTAAAGAGGAATTTTAGCTTGAAGGCTTTTATATATGAGTAAGTAAGATAAGTAGATCTTGTAGTTGGAATGCAGTTGTAGTTGATAAAGATATATGTAGCTTTCCAGTCTTTAGTAGTTTTAGTGTTTGTCTAAAGCTATGCTCTGTTCAAGGAGTGCTATTGTGCTATGTGTGTAGCATTATTTAGATGACATATAAAGTATCGAGAGCTATGCTCTATTACATAATATTGCTAGTAAAGGTAGAAGGAATTTGAATATTGTGTATATTGTATTGTTATTGGCAAGGAGGTAGAGCTAAAGTTAGATTTAAAAGGTATAGAGTTAGTTATAGTATCTTGTGTTAAAGTTTTTAAGTTGATATTGAGTTGTAAACAGTTAATAGTAATAAATAATTGTTGCCAAAGAGACCATATATGTATCTTTGGTTTGTAATGGAGTTTGTGTTCAAATTACTAGTAGAGTGAGTTGAAGGTAGTAATAAATGTTGAGTTTTTGAGATAGATAGTGATGTTAGTAGTAGGTGATGTGGTTAAAATGATTGAGAGGATTCCAACACAGATTGCACAGTTTATATAAGGCCATGTTGTGAGTTGTATATGAAGAGTTGTGTTTGTGAATGGGATATGCTATATGAAGTTTGCAGTTTGTTCTGTTGTATTGGTATTCTGTATTTGAGTGCTAAGATAAGTAGTTATACCATGCTTTTTTGAGTTAGTAGCTTGTATTATTTTTAATTATTGAGTTGCTATTCCAGGTAGGAAGAGATCAGTAGTAATGTTTGATATAGAGGCATTTGGTTGTATTGTAAGATTATTGGTAGTATTAGTGTTGAAGAGCGGATGATGCATAAGTAGGTCTGTGATATTTGTTCTCAAGTAGTTTTGTTTAGTGACCTGAATTGTTATAGCATGCTCTTTTGAGATTGTGATACTACATTTGTTATAGTAAGTATTAGTAGTATTAATGCAGTGTTAGCATTGTGTTAGTAAGTTGTTGTCGTTATTAAATAGGTTCCAGTGAGATATTTTAATTAAGTTGTTATTTTTGCTGGTAATTTTTCCTATTATCATTTGGGAGTTGATATGTGTTAAGATCCATTTGTAGGTTGTGTTGGTAGTGTCTGTGACTGTAAAAGGGTTTGGGTATATAAGGTTATCTGTTTGTTGAGAGTTGTTTGTTAGTATGTTGTTTGTGAGCAGTTTTTTTATTTCTTTGTATCACTGTGGGTATATCCTTTTTGCATTTTTTGTGTTTTGTATAGTATTGTTGTTCAGTCTAAGATATATATATTTGTATAGTTAGTAAGTTGTTCTATCACGTAAATTTTTGCTTTGGTTGTTTGTAGCTTGTATATTGTAGGTGATTTGAGATTTTTAAGCAGATTGTCAATAGGTATTCTAGAAAAAGGTAGTGGTAGTGGCCAAGAATATACGATATTTGCAAGGATTATATCTAGAGTATGCATTAGTCATAGAGCAGAGATAGTAGTTATGTTGTTGATTTTTTGTAGTACAATAAAGTTTTTGTATTGTGTAATACTTTGGTTAGTATACATGATATTTTGGATTTGTTGAAGCTAAATACGTAGTGATATGTTGTTGTCAGTGTTTAGAGTATTGATTAGAGTAGTTGTATGGTTTTGTCTTTGGATATCCCATAGATCATAGAGTCTGTAGATGTTATGATTGAAGATTGTTGAGCTTAGTATAGATGATACAAGTGTAGCTTTGTGCTTAGTTAGAGTTATATATTTGTTAGTAAGTTTTTTGCATGTAGTATAGAGTAGAATAGTATTCTGAGTTCGATAGGAAAATCTAGGAATGATAACCATGTTAATTATGTATATTGATTGTTTGTCTGTAATTTTCTTTTTTTTTAAGCAGTTTGTTGCCTGAGTGAGTTCATTAGTAATAATTTTGTAAATAGAGTTATGTGAGGTATGAGTATTAAACCAGTATTCCAGAAAATGAAAAGGGCAGTTTAGCTGAACTGCAGTAATAGTTGTGTTGTTGAAGGTAGTATTGAGTAGGTTATGATCATTGTAGGCTACGGCCAGTACTGATTTGAATAGATTAACAGTTATATTAGCAAGTATATAGAATGAAGTTGTAGTAC